TGCAATGAAGAATTATAATTAGTCAAGTATTATCCATGAAGCTCTTATTACTTTACTTTAGAGAAATAGTAGCAACTCATCCAGTGTTATGGGATGTGTAATGTTGTTACTGGTAAATTGTTAATAATCCCGTTTTATTTCCAAATTTGTTTCCTTTTATTTAATAAAATAAAGTAATTTGTTTGCTTATATTGTATTTCTATGTATGTGCAGTATTGAGTTTGAACATAAAATAATTGTCAAAACCTGACAGGCCAAATGGAATACCAAAGATTGTAAAATAGAATTTATCGAGAATTTATGGAGCTATGAAACAGAGTAGCCTTGGAAAGTTGAAGACAAAATATGTAAGTTGGTTAAATGTATTGAATTTGATTTAATATGTCCATCTTACAGAATTTTTAAATCTTTTAATGTTCTCATATAATACACTTACATCATAAACACTATATTGTCACACTGTAATGATACACCTATGTTATTTAATACATACAATTGTCGATATTTTAAATGTTTCAAAGGTGTTGAGACATAGATTGAAGAGAACAACGGAGGAGAAATTGTTTCTCAAATATAACGGACTCAAACAACAAGAAGGGGGCCAATCTAAATTGGTGGGAAAGACTAGAAGTGGTAAAATTAAAAAACCACATGGTCAGGTGGATGAAGAAACATTTGAGGATAGCGAGAATGAGGAGGTAGAACATGACACATTTTTTGATGATGACGATGATATTATGGATGTAATTGACGATGATGGTAAAGAGAAGGTGCTATTTGAATCACTTATTGAGGCTATTATTAATGAAGCGATGCACAGTCGTGACAATGAGAGAGATGGTCTGGAACAAGTTTCTAAAAAATATGAAACTCAGAAAGATATTGATGTTCCAATACAAGATGACAGTGATGTAAGAGAAGATGAAGAACAAGCAGACAAAGGCTTCCAAGAGCTAATAAAGGAGAACGATGTCTTGAAATTGTTATACGGAACATAGGCCCATGTAAAAATTATTTGGAGCATTCACATTCTGTTGCTAAGGGTGATGAGTTAGACAAAAAAAAAATATGCCTTCTCATTAAAAATGAAAGCAAAGGACACGACGATAAAAGAGTTGAATGAAGTTGTTGAAAATATAAAAAAGCGGGAACAAATGTTTGAAACAGATATACAAGCTTGCAAGGAAAAAATCAAAATTGAGAAAATGAGAATGTTGAATTATTGATCAAATTAATGAATTATCTATGCATGTCATAACTTAGCAATATCAACAAGAAAACATTGCAGTTCAAGATCAGGGGAAAAGCTAAAAACAGGCCAAACATCAATGGATTGAAACATCAAGATAAGGGATAATAAAAGAAAGAGAAATAGAGAATTTGAATATAGTGGGAAGAAAAGAGGAAAAAATCAAATTGAGACATAATATATGATCAACCATAAGAACACTTTGATTGAAGACGAATCTGGAAAAACAATGGAGATTGTTGAGGATGATGATAACAAGGAAAAAATCACTACAATTAAAGGTTTAATAGAGAAAGAGATAAAAAAAATGTGACGCTATTGCGAAGCATTGGATGCGATTGATTTCAACAAATTAAAGACGATATATGATAAAGAGGAGTACGGGTAAGTGTCACTGTCCCAACAAAAAATGTGTTCATAAGAAATTATGATTAATACATACTTTGTTATTTTTAAAATATATGACAAGTTTGCTTCCCATTTTTATGACATTATAGTGAAAAATTATGGTCTAGAATTAGAATTAGAAGTGTAATAGATGTCGAGGATGCGTTGAAAATAATGGGAACTTGCGAACTAGACAACACCGTAAGTATTGTCAAAGTGTAACATGGAACTGCATTTTTTAGTTACAAAAGTGTTGTTTGACAGTATAACATGGTCTGAATAATGATACATAATATTTGTTTTTTAATAGATCATTAACTGTTGGGTTGATATGATAAGGGGTCAGGGTTGATGATTACAATGAGATGTCGACATTTAAGAGACGTTACTACTTCATCAACAGTCTTTGTTGGGTAAGATATATAATAACCACAATGTACAAATAGTTGTTCAAATAAATTATTTGTGAGTTGTTTAACACCTTATATTTTACATATTTTGAATGTGTAGTCCTTTATAACTCTTCCAAATTTAGAGTATGCATGTCAAACAGAAATAGATAGGCACATACCATACGTCAGAGATTCCAAATATGTTGTTTTCCCAATAAATTCAAATGGTCAAAAATAAGATTATACTTCTAACCATTGGATTTAGGGGATGCAATCATATTGGAACACGTGTTTTCAGGCCTTTTTTGGGCTTTGAACAATGTCTGTCATAGCCAAAGGTAGTGAGTCTTTTAAGGTTCGTTGAGAGCTTCGATTTGATATATTATGGGCCTCGTAACTCCAAACAGATCAAAAGTTATGATCAAAATAGTGTCAACCCTTCTTGGACTTAGATTTGGATTTTTGATTGCGCTGATCCGCTAACTTAAGGTATCTCAGCGTCATTAACGTGTCATCTGATAAATCAGTATCATCTGACTCGGATCCTCCTACATCAATCTCCCCGGGTTGGAAAGAACTCGTCCTCGAGTTCACAGTAGTGTCATCAAAATCCACAAGACAAGGACTCAGGTGTTTCACATTAAAGACATCAGAAGTCCTCAAATGACTGGGGGAGGCGCAGCCTGTATGCATTATCATTGATTTTCCACAGTATCTCACGGGGTTCAATCTTTCGCTCTTTAAGCTTATTATACTCTCCAACAAGAAAACGATCACGAGTTAACATAATAATTATGAATGATTATGACAGTAAATTAATTAGGTCAATAAATTATGTCCAAATTACATTGTTCTTTTTCATTTCACATTCATGTCACATTAGTCATTAACTGAGAGGGCACAAAATGCTTATAAAACTAGGACAGTTTAATGCATTATGCATGACATGTTTAACAGAACAATAACTTGAACATGTCAATGTTGAGTCAAAAAACGCAAACATCTCCAACGATTCAGCCAAATTGTGTGAAACTCGTTCACATAAAATTTGGAATGGTATCGAATTGAAAGACATCCAACCAAGTAACCTTCCACAAATCCTCCCCTCCTATACCCATGCTATCCCCATCTAGCCCTTATCCTTAGCGTCATTACTGTTAGTATCCTCGAGAATATATTGTGGATTATATTATGAGGTAAATTGCAGTTTGTATATTAAAAGATTTTAAAATTTTTATTTTATATTCTCAAAGATTAAATTTCTTACATTTTACCCTTAATGTATCAAAAGTGTTGCAATGTGACATTTTTGTAAGCTTTTAGTTAATTTTTACGTCAATGTCAATAAGATTATTTTTTATGAAAAAAATAACGGAAGCTAACAGAGGGGTCACATTATAACGTTTTTGATATATTGAGGACACAATATAAAAAATTTAATCTTTAAAGATATAAAGTTGAGAATCTTTGATTAGAAAGAAATCAATTATATAAAGTAAAAATAATAGAAAATAAAGTAAAAGAAAGAAAAAAGAGTCGTCTAAAGAACATGGAATTAATTTACAGTTATTAAGATTTAGATGAGGAATCATCTAGAGAACTTTTAACACCAAGAAAAAAAAAAGAAGCACAAATACAAACAAATAGATTTCAAGTTGACAGAATGATTTAAATTAGAAAAATAAGCTATGGATGAACAATGGTTTATGACTTTTTCATGTAAAACAGTAATGCTTTCTGGGGAAAAAAAATGCTACACCAATTTCATGGCAATTTTTTTTATAACTTAATCAAATATCACATAATAAATCAAAGGGAAAATAGCAGTTTGTACCCTAAAAGATTAAAATAAATTAATTTATAGCCTCAAAGATTAATTATTTCAAATTGCACCCTCAACTAAATTAATTGGCAGCAATGTGATCTCAAACATAACATTCGTTCAATTTTTATCAAATTGACAGTCACACAAGACATAAGTGAAAAAGGGAAGGATCATAATCTTACAAGAGTCATTACATGTATTTCACGTGACTGTCAATTTGACAAAAAACAGAATCTCAACCATAACATCCATGATAATTTTTATTGGATTGATAAGCACATTAGTCGCACGTGAAAAGGGAAAAGCGTCATAATCAGGTAAAAGTCATCTCATACATCTAACAAGGCTAACAATTTGATGCAAATGGCAACGAATGTTATGGTTGGAGTCATATTGCTACTAACTAATTTAATTCAAGGTTGAATTCAGAACAATTGACCTTTGAGGGTGCAATTTGAAATTTTTGGGGTGCAAACTGCTATTTACCCTAAACAAAATACCATAATTGATGTCACAGGATGAAACCAGTTGTGCAATTTAACCCAAAAAAAAGGTTGCACAAAGACAGGAAAACAACCGTGCAAAACAATCAGATCTCCCCTTGGCTCGAGTACCAATTTGTGAAGTAGTTATAGAGGGCTTTAGAATGTACCCTTATATCATCTCACATGCCAATCAATCTCCAAAATCTTTTTGGTTTTGTTTGGTAAACATGAATCCCCAAAATTGAAAGGTGGAGAACTGCTACTTTTCCAGTGAAAAAGAAACTGGCAGGGCTTAGAAAACAAGAGAAAGAAAACCAATGAAAGCAAAAATGCATTTAGAACACTTTCATTTAACAGAGACTATTGTCAGCAACACTTTGTAAAAGCACAACCCAAATTATAAGGAAATGGTGCATGGGTTGATTGATGGATTGATCAGACGATCTAGGTGAATCATACATGAAATAGTTGATGAACTGGTTGACACACGGATCGCCTGACCAAGTCAAAACCTGTGATCTAAAACAAGTCATACAGAATGTGTAAATGATAACAGAAACGCCAACAACAAATCTTCAATCTCTGTTCAACAAGGCACCAACGATGCAAGCTACAGATGCTATTGGGAAGACAAGTAATGTTATATCATATTGGTAGCACTTCAAAAGATCATTCCTTACACATACCATGTAACTGTTAAACTTGGAATTGAACAAGAAGCCAAAGGCTTCCATGCTTAAAGAGATGGTAAACAAGAGAGACAATGTAAACACAGAACAAGCTGCACAAACAAGGGACCATACGGAAAGGTAATTTGGTACCCCTCCAGCTTCACTTTTAGTTATACAATTCTTATTTCCTTTTTAACCATTGTTGCAGCACAAAAATATAGGCATGCAATTTAAACAATTTGATATAAACTGGCAACACTAGAGCTGTTCCGCAGCTGCTGGGGGTTGAAATGGAGAAGTCATGACCCATTACGAAATATATTCCTTCTAGTCCTCATTTTGTCCCTTGACTGAAACTAAGCTCTCCTTGTAACTAAAAATCGAAAGTCCACAATATGTGAAAAATCCATAAATTCCTAGACCCGTAGTTTCCTTAGTGTCGTGGTTGTACAAAACCAGCTCTAAACAGCCACTTTCAAGCAAAAGATCCTCACTCTTCCAAAACCCAAGCGGTCGCAAGATTTCTGGAAAAGGTTTAACAATTAAGAGTTTGGTCCAACACCCTTCCTCCTTCATCACCCATATGTCAATAATAAACTGCAAAACCATATCCGTCTGACAAAGAAACAGAGCAATACCATTATTGTACAAAGTAAGATTCACCCAAGTTTTTTTACGGTGATCAGGTCCCTGTATCTCTCTAAATACCTCAGAGGTCATATTTAATGAAAGGACACTATGATTCTCACCGTTTTCAGATGACAGCCAGTAATAAGCTCCATTCACATATGTGGCACACAGAGAACTGTGAATGGCGCGGTTAGGGAGTTCAAGCGGGTCGAGATATCTCCATGAATCACTACCTAGAGTATATATAGCAACAACAAAAGAAGGGTAAGGGTTATCCATTTGCTCATCCCAAAAGGAACGAATCCAAATAAACTTGTAAATGTTCGCCAAGTTGTCCAACCCATATCCAAATGTATGCCAAATGGTAGAGAAATATGGTGGTAAAATGGAGTGGGGTGCAGGTAGGAGCCTAAACTCTCTAGTAGCAGGGTTCCACAGAGCCATGTTATCGTCAAGGCCATTGTGAAGGAAAAACAAGCCGTCTATGGAACCAATCCCAGTTTCCATAGCCGGGGGAATATGTAGATAGTCAATTTCTTCATGTATAGACGGCATGCCCTTGAGTGTTTTGTCAGGGAACAAGGCAACAACATATGTATCAGTGTCGAAATCGTAATGATGAACAAGGAGACGGGCTTGATTGTTTTCCTGGTTGAAGTGCTCGCGAATAAAACTAGGCTTTTTTGTACGTGTGTACCAATGCTTGCAGACGCACTTGAATCGTAACAGTGATTTCACAGGCAGCCTTGAGAGTATCTCAATCACGACATCTTCTGGTAACTCTGGATCACAAGTGCTTAACATTTTACCCCTCAACTCTCAGTTTTGACGAATCTGTCTATCTTTTATCTTACCCTGTTCACAAAAAGATGAAGAGAATTAACTGATTGGGGGTAAGACTGTGTTCATTTGAGAGTTGAATTTACAATCTAAAAACAAATCCTTAGTGACATGCGCCAGCAATTTAAGAGAAGACAATTCAAATCATTTCTCCAATACATTCACCAAATGAAATAGCAAGAAATTAATACGACGTCATTGCTCATAATTTGATAATGTATAGGTCATAAGAAGATTATATAAACACACACACATACAGATAAAAGAAGATTATATAAGCAAACACACACACACAGATACAACATCTACCCAAATTAGATACAGATACAACATCATCAGTACTTTTTTCTACAACCAAATAAGAGAACATAATCGGTCTTCGCAAAATCAGTTATTGTAGTAATTGCAATCCATTTTCCCCATCTTTCGAATCAGACTTTATGAGTCTAAACCTTTTTATTTTTGTTCCAAATGAAAACAACATCGAGAAAAGTTGGAAGACACTGAAACCCAATTCTAATTATTAAAAAAAATTCACACCAGAAACAGAAAACCAAATAATCTAACAAACAACTTCTAATCAAAGAAGAAATTCATCCAGACAAAAAAAAAAAAATACTGGAAATCACTTACAAGATCTTCTGGATTATAGGATTTTTGTTGTTCGTGACGAAGAGGAGTTAACGGCTATTAGGTCTCCTCTGAATGCTCTCAAGATCTTGGGTCACTCACAAGATTCTTGATGATACGGATATATAAAGTTGACGGTTGTTAGTTTTTTTTTTTCCCGGAGGTGTCTTTGGGTGAACTGTTTTCTCGAATTGAGATACTATCATTGTAATAGGAGCGAGTTTAAAGTAATCGTTGTCAAATTTTTATTTTTATTTTTGGAATTTTTGTGCTTTGCACTCTACATTTTATATTTCAAAAAATTATTATTTTTTCCTTTGCACCCTAAATGTCATAGATTAGTTCTAATGTTGCCCTCGAACTAACATTCAATTCAAATTCCATTAAAAATTGATACACATGTCACTCAAAAATATGAATGATGAGTTTATATTTTTGTCCAAAAGTAACACACGTGGATGACATGTACATCAAATTTTAATAGAATTTGAAACGGATGTTAATCTGAAAATTACATTAGAACCAATTTATGACATTCAATGTGCAATATAGAAAAAATAATATTTTGTGGTGCAAAGTGAGAATCGGGACATTTTTTGAGTTATAAAGTGCGAAAAATCCTTTTTTTTTTTCAGTTCAAATATGATATTTCTAGGTGATGACTAGAATGAGGAAAAATTATACTTTAGCTACCTACACTATAGTACTATGTTATCTGTTGCATTAAATTTTAAAATATTAGTTTCATTTTCGCATTACTCAGATAATTAATTTCTGTCCAAATTTTCATGGCAAACTAAAAATAAAAAATCAAAATTATCCCATTTGAAAGAAAAAGAAGGAAATAACAACACCTTCAAATATTGTGAAATTATATTTTTACTCTGATTTGTCGTGTCAAAAATAGACAAAGATTAAAGTAACGTAAAACTCAAACTAATAATTTAAGGTACAATATAAGAATGAGAATATTTTATGAGGCAATATGAAATGAGGGACGTACTTCAAGAAACCTAAGTGTAACTTGCCCTTAAAATAATTTTGTTGAGGGTTACACAATTAGGTAGTGTTTGGATTATTTTATTTCGAGCCTCTGTTAAGTTCTAATTAATTTTAATTCTAGAGACATTTTTTTTTCTCTCCTCTCAATCAAACCCACCATCTATGGGTACCAATAAATGGAAAATTCGCTTGACCTTTGCACTAACAACACTAAGCAAAAATAATAATTATTTCTTTAAGAATTCATATAATATTTGGTCAAAATATGAAAAATTAGATAATTCGTCATACAAAACAATTAAACTGAGTTTGTCATTTTTTTTATAGTAATTCAACTCATTTATTCAAATTCGTGAGTATTTTATTCTTATGAAAAATTATTCAACACTTACCTTAATGTCACAAATTAGTCAACTCTTACCAATTAATTTTGCATCAATCTCGAATGCCAAAAATTATCACCATAAAATGCTTTTGATATTGTGTTCATAAATCATATTTTGAAAGTCCCTCTCTTCTCTAGTAGTCATGAGTTCGAACCAACTTGCAGTAGTAGTCTCTATGAACTAGATACTATTGAAAGAGTGGCATATCTAGCTTGCCCTCGTTGGTGATGTAGTGACCGACTCGATCATTTTAGGTCCGTATCTATGACTCAAACCAAACATTCTACAGCAGAAAACGGTATGGTCATGTGATACCATCTAAAAAAAATGACATATGGTCATGTCCATCAAAAAAACTTGACGATCAGTTTATGTAAAAACTAAAGTAACACGAATTAAATACTTTAGAGATAAAATTGAATCAATGAGAATTAAACTAATAAAAAATTTATACTTTAAGAACTAAAAATACTATTAACCCTTTATTTTACTGGTAGGGTTTGTCCCATCACAGGAAAAAAGCGAACAAGGTTTTCCATTCTAACCACAAAATGGGAATGAGAGAGAGAAGAGACTTCAAGTATATGTAGTATCCTTGTCAAAATTTCAACTATGGTGAATCCATTTCAGTAAGTTAAATAATTTCAGAACCAAGACCTTGCACTTACTCTATGCATGTTTTGTTCCTCAACAAAATACTCTTTTACCTCTATCAAGACAAAATTCATCAGTGCTCTGCTGGTTTAAATCAATCTGCTTTTGGCCTGCCTATTTCACCAACACCATCGTCTCCCTTGGCCGAGGATGGACAAGTGGACTGAGTACTACGCTACCTTGAATCTTAAATCCTTTGTCTAATTTTTGTTCAGCAATTAGAATTTCCACTCTCCAATACACTTGCAAAACAACCACTGACAAGCAATATCAATGCCATAACATTCTTCAACCAAGAATTTAGGAAGACAAAAGTTCCTCGAGCTACTGTTAGACATGCTCGTCTAATAAATGTTATACAACAAATTGTCCGACATATATATATAGTCCTCAAGAATCTACACAATGTAGGAGACTCAAGTGTAATTAGCTATTGACGTCTGATTGAAAGTATGATGTATCTCTAACCTACTTGAAGAAGCTAATCACAATCTGTCCTTGGGGAGACCAAAGTCGTATCAGTAATGCCATTGAAATTCCTCTTAGTTACACCATCACTAATTGTGTTTTATGGAGCAAAATTTGAAATGGGCAATACCTTTCCAGGGTTCAGGGTTTAGAGGTGGTAATTCATCTTTCTTGCTTGCAGGAATTGATGGTATGCATTGACACGAGCGAGGTCCATTCTGCATTTTTTTTTCCAGTAGTGGGGCATATAAACATACCTACAGCGAAGATTCCAATGAGCCCTCTCAAGTAACAACTAATTTCTCAACAAAGGAGGACATCACCATATGGGTTATCACATACAACACACCCTATGGAAGAAATAATATGCAAAGATAATTAGTCATATGATTTGTTTATGTTGCAGTGAATCCAATAAGCCATACAAAACAAAAACAGAACTTTGTAAGAGGACTAACAACACCTTATCTTCTCTCATCTTGAAACATCATGTAAATTTGTCAAAAATGACTAATGGACCACAATAGTACATAGGCTGGACCTGCATCTTTTGCCAAAAAACCTTGTAAATTAGGGGAGAAATTATATGCAAAAGAAACTGTGACTCTCAAGAGAAAGGATTAATATTATTATTTTGTTTAGTTGTGGACACTTATAACTGTTAAATTATTTTCAAAATAAAATTTTTTTTGGGTGGTTATTTTTGAAAAACTCTTTGTAACTTTTGGGAAATTTTGAAAATGTGTGAAGTAAAAATAAGAGCTTTTCCCTAAACCCAGTCTCTTCAAAAACTTTATTCTCAAACCCAATCAGTTTTAAACTTATTTCTCAAACTCGGTCTCTTTTTAAAAACGTTATTCCAAATGACGCCTTCATGAGTTAAAACGTCATTTGAAATGACGATTTTAAACTAAAATTCTTTTATTGAAAACGTCATTCAAAATAACGTTTTTAAAGACGTCATTTTTAATAACATTTTTCAAAATGAATTTTCAAACGGCAATTAACAGACATTTAAAAAAAATAGTGGGTAGAAAACGTCATTTATAATGATGTTTTGTTCCCACAAAAAAACTTCATCTTTGCCATCCGAATAAAACCCACGATCAACAGATTCTTTAGTGAAGGAGTCTTGAAAGCCATCATCTTTTGAATAAACTCCATTCGTTTTGGGCCAAACTAATTTCCTCCCAGACATTTTATTCTCAAAAATTGCTTTGCCCTGAATTCACCTATGGATTTCTTCCAACAAGAATGGTGGTGGGTTCTTCACATTCAATGGAATAAAAGGCACAACACTTGCACTTAGAACCAATTGACTACTAGAATTTTTAAATCTTTTAATGTTCTCATATAATACATTTACATCATAAACACTGTATTGTCACACTGTAATGATACACTTCTATGTTACACGCATGTTATTAAATGCATACAATTGTCGATATTTTAAATGTTTCAAAGGTGTTGAGACATAGATTGAAGAGAACAACGGAGGAGAAATTTTTTCTCAAATATAAGGGACTCAAATTGGTGGGAAAGACCAGAAGTGGTAAAGTTAAAAAACCACATGGCCAGGTGGATGAAGAAATATTTGAGGACAGGGGGGATGAGGAGGTAGAACATGACACATCTTTTGACGATGACGATGATTTTATGGATTTAATTAACGGTGATGGTAAAGAGAAGGTGCTATTTGAATCACTTATTGAGGCTATTATTAATGAAGCGATGCACAATCGTGACAATGAGAGAGATGGTCTGGAACAAGTTTCTGAAAAATATGGAACTTAGGAAGATATTGATGTTCCAATACAAGATGACAGTGATGTAAGAGAAGATGAAGAACAAACAGACAAAGGCTTCC